AAAAAAAATAATCCCCCCCTCCACCGGGTGACTAGGGGCCCCCAAACCCATTTAACTAGGTACCTGAAAAAAAAAAAACTTACCATTTGATGTTTTCTTTCTTCTAAAATCTTCTTTTTTCAGCCCCAAAAAAGAGCAAACAAAAAGCCATAATAACCAACGCACGTTAAAAAAAAACGAGCGCCAAAAAAAATAATTCATCTTCACACGGCGAGGGCTCTGCGCAGACTGAGCTCTGCAGGGCGGGGCAAGGCTTATAAAGCCTTGCCCCGCCCTGCAATTAGGCTCAGAGCACTCTGATTGGTGGGTTTAAGCCATCCAATCAGAGTGCTCTGACAGGTAAATGAAGAGACTGACAGGTAAGTCTCTACATTTACCTGTCACAGCACTCTGATTGGTTGGTTTGAAATTCCAAAGAACTTTCCTACGCTGTGTAAAATGACACAGAGCACTCTGATTGGTGGATTTCAAACCAACCAATCAGAGTGCTGTGACAGGTAAATGTACCTGTCAGTCTCTTCATTTACCTGTCAAAGCACTTAAACCCACCAATCAGAGTGCTCTGAGCCTAATTGCAGGGCGGGGGAAGGCTTTATAAGCCGTCCCCCACCCTGCAGAGCTCAGTCTGCGCGGAGCCCTCGCCGAGTGAAGATGGAATTTATTTTTTTTTTAAGTGCGTCGGTTATTATGGCTTTTTATTTTGCCTTTTTTGGGGCTGAAAAAAGAAGATTTTAGAAGAAAGAAAACATCAAATGGTAAGTTTTATAATTTTTTCAGGTACTTAGTTAAATGGTCCCCCCTTGTTATTTTTGAGGGGGGTAGGTAGGGGTTAATATTTTGGGGAGGGGGGTGACAAGGGGTTTGGGGACCCCTATTCACCCGGGGGAGGGGGGGTTATTTTTTTTATTTAGGGCCCCCACCCACCGCTCAGGGGTGGTGGCCAGTGGGGAGGACATTAGTTCCCCCCCTAATTAGTATTTTAGGGCCCCCACCCACCACTCAGGGGTGAGGGCCAGGGGGGAGGACATTAGGTCCTCCCCCCACATTGTAATTTAGGGCCCCCACCCACCGCTCAGGGGTGAGGACCAGGGGGGAGGACATTAGGTCCCCCCCAATTAGTATTTTAGGGCCCCCACCGACCGCCCTGGGGTGGGGGCCAGGGAGGAGGACATTAGGTCCCCCCCTAATTAGTATTTTAGGGCCTCCACCCACCGCTCAGGGGTGGGGGCCAGGTGGGAGGACATTAGATCCCCCCCTAATTAGTATTTTAGGGCCCCCACCCACCGCTTATTTTACTTTAGGGCCCCTCCCCCTCTGGTTAGAATGGGGAGAGGGCATTTTTTTTTTTTTTCTGTGGCTGCTCACTGTTTAATAGACATATAGTGAGTAGGGGCATAATTTACTAATACTAAGTAATCTTTACTTAGTATTAGTAAATTTGGCTAAAAGATCAATTCAGGTCTTTCAGCCTTTTAGTAGATAGCTCCCTAATACCGTGGGAATTAGGGAGTTATCTACTTATTCATTCCTGTCATTACACTGACTGGCCAAGTAACTTACATTTTATATGAATGTATGTTACTTGATTGTTGTAAGTGTTGCAAATGCTTACAGCTGAATCCTGGCTATGTTTGTACACTTTTTATTTAAAATTGTATACAGTGTAACATTCTTCTTCCACTGGGTAAGTATATTAGTACTTAGGCAATACTGTACTTCAGAACTTTGGCACTTTGGAAATTCGGTAATTTCGGACCTTCGGGACCTCAGTACTTCAGCTATTCGGACATTCGGAAGTACCCGAATGTCCGAATTTCCCGAAATTCGTCCAAATTCATATTCGTCCCGAAATGAATTGCACATGTTTAATAAGTGGACACAAGCTAGAATAATAAGTATAGCTCAGTTATTAATAAAGAGAGTAATTAAACCATTTTCCCAACTGATGAATGAGTTTAATTTACCATCAAAAGAACTATTCAGTTTTCTGAGAATAAAAAGCTTTTTAATGTCCCATTTAATGAAACCAGAGTCTATTTTGATCAAAAGAATAACTACATTATTTAATTCACATCCGTCAGATAAACCCATCTCAAAAGCTTTATCTAAATATAGAGAAGAAAGAATTGAATATTGACATAGAAATTAAAAACTGGGGCTCTTCAAAGTTTCTAAAAATACACACTCGTTAAATCTAATGGAATCTCATTTCAAAGTAGTAAATAGATGGCATTTAGTTCCAGAAAAATTGAATAAGATGTTCCCCACAATAAACCATCTATGTTGGAGATGTGGGATGACTATAGGAACAAACAAACATATCTGGTGGGACTGTATAAAACTAAACAATCTGTGGGAAGCAATTCACATATTTATTTCAACAAATCTAAATTTTGTGTTGAAACTATCTCCAGAAGTAGTTCTGCTTCACCTAAACTGGCCCCCTATGCCCTTGGAGATTAAAACTATAATAACTCACCTATTTTTAGCCATTAAAATTGTAACATCAAGAAATTGGAAAAAAATTTTAATTATTTTCCCTGGGAGAAAGTAAAAAACCAACTTACATTTCATATCAAAATGGAATTAATGTTAAGTAAACAAAACTTGAGTAAGAAGCTATCCAAGCTATCCATCTGGAACACCTGTTGGGAACTCATAGAAGATAGGGGAAGAAAAATAGACTAATAGCTAATTTTAAGCAGATCAGTGTCACTATAAATCCTTACTATATAGTTCATAACTATGGACAAACATTAATTTTCTTTTCTCTTTGGCATTTTCTAGTACAAACTATGCATTGTCTTGTCTTTGAAAGAAAATGTATTGTTTGTGTATGTATGTATGTATGTGATTACAAAGATAGCTTACACCCACTCTATATTAAATCAAATATTTGACATTATTTGGGATGTTATGGAGGCTTCCTCCTAAGTTTAGTTATCTTAAAAGCTGATTTGGATGTATACAAGGGAAAGCTATCTATTGTAAAGTCTGTGCTGTGTTTTTTTTTATTGTTTATAAACTAAACTATTTAATAAAGAATATATTTTAAAAATATATATATATTTTAACTTTATTTATATATTATTAAAGCTGTGATATTTTCCCAACTAAAGGTGTCTGAGTATTTGTGGGGGGGTTAATTGGGGTTTGTCATGCATATGCTGGAAAAGGCGACTATGCATATCTCAAGTTTCAATGGTCATTTTTTCGAGTTTTAAAACTTTGGTCTAGAATTTTCCTTTATATCTAATCAACATGCATGGAGCAGCCTCCACTTGTTCAGCTGTTATAGCTCCTACAGTTTTCTGTAGTTTGGGCAAATTGTCCCTAAACTTCTTCCCGACCGGTGATGGTTCAGGACTGTCATCGGAAACATCCCCTTGAGGACCGGTGACGGTCCTTAACCGTCATAACGGAAATTTGTACTCACTCGGTTGCCGTCGTTCTCCCGGTGGCGATCGGCATTGCTCCCAGTGTGGAGAGACTGTCTGCAACCTATTGTCCTCCCCCCGGCCCCCACCCCTGAGCGGTCGGTGGGGGCCATAAATAACAATAAGGGGGGGAACCTACTGTCCTCCCCCCGGCCCCCACCCCTGAGCGGTGGGTGGGGGCCCTAAATGAAAATGCTCCCCCCAAGGTGACTAGGGGTCCCAAAGTCCCTAGTCACCCCCCCACACACAAATAAAAAAAATCCCCACCTACCCCCCTCACCCTAAAAATAGTGAGGAGGGAATAAAATAACTAACTACCTGTAAAAATAATAAAACCATTTGATGTCTTCTTTTTTCTAAAATCTTCATTTTCCAGCCCCAAAAAAGGCCAAATAAAAACCATAATACCCGTCGAACTTGTAAAAAAATTAAATAAAAAACCCAAGCGCAAAAAAAAAGATGAAAAAGAAAAAACCTGACGCAAAAAAAATAATCCATATTCACCAGGCAAGGGCACAGCGCAGAATGGCTTATAAAGCCTTGCCCCGCCCTGCAGTTAGGCTCAGAACACTCTGATTGGTTGGTTTAAGCCAATCAGAGTGCTCTGTGTCATTTTACACAGCGTGGGAAAGTTCTTTGGAACTTACCCACGCTGTGTTAAGTAAGAGTATGTGAAAAGTAGTTAGGGTTGCCACCTTTCTTGGAAAAACATACCGGCCTTGCTAATTTGCATAATTAAATATGTATGGGTGACATCACATGATGTAAATCACAAGGAGTGATATAAGAGAAAATGCTGTAAAATCACCAAAAACTACTTAGTTTGATTCTGCTGTATAGATGGATTCCTCCCAGTGCCCCCATGTGTCGATTACTCCAGGTCTCAGTGTTCCTATGTATCAGTGTCTCAGTGCCCCATGTCTCCCAGTGTCCCCTAGTGTCGTGTCCCCAGGTCTCCCAGTGATCCTATGTATCACAGTGTCTCAATGCCCCATGTCTCCCTGTGTCCCCATGTATCCCAGGGTCCCCATGTCACTAGGAAGACGGGAAGACCTGGGGACACAGGGAGACCTAGGGACACGGAGACACCAGTGACACTGTGAAACTCAGGGACTCTGGCTGGGACGCATGGGGACACTGGGAAAATAGGGGACACTTGAAGACATGGGGACATAGACACCAAGGACACAGGCACTAGAGACACTGGTTGAGGGACATGGGGACATGGGGACATTGAGACATGGGGGCACTGGGAGACATGGGGACAAGGATACACCAGGGCCACAGACACTAGGAACACTAGCTTGGAGACATGGGGACATTGAGACACTTGAGGCACTGGGAGACATTGGGGCACTAGGAGACATGGGGACAGTGAGACACTGGCAGACTGGGGGCACTGGGAGACTAGGGGGCACTGAGACACCAGGGACACTGGCTGGGAGACATGGGGATACTGTGTCCCCATGTGTCTGTGTCATAATGTCTCCCAATGTCCCTTAGTGTCTCAGTGTCTGCCATAATGTATCCCAGTGTCCCTTAGTGTCTCAGTGTCTGCCATAACGTCTCCCGATGTCCCTTAGTGTCTCTGTGTCTGCCATAATGTCTCCCAGTGTCCCTTAGTGTCTGCCATAATGTTTCCCAATGTCCCTTAGTGTCTCAGTGTCTGCCATAATGTCTCCCAGTGCCCCTTAGTGTCTTAGTGTCTCAGTGTCTGCCATAATGTCTCCCAATGCCCTTTAGTGTCTCAGTGTATGTCTCCTTGCAGCCTTTCCCCCATCCCTTACTTCCCTGAGCTGTAGGCTGTCTCTGCAGGGTGGGAGTTGCTGTCTGGACTCTCTGTAGCTGCACCCCTGCAGATCAGTGAGTATAGATAGGCAGGGAGGGATATGCTGTAACTTCCTATCCCTGCCTCTCTTCATACACATACTGGCCAGTGCTGGTATTGCAGAGTAATCTCTTGTTTATACTGAGAAAAATACCAGCATTTGTATTGCCAGTATCACTGCAATATTGGCACCAGCCAGGCAGTGTGTGGGAAAAAAATGTAAAAAAAAATAATTAATTTTTTTATAAATCAATGGGCCTACTCCATGGGACTGGGCCTGGAGCTGCAGCTCCAACAGCCCCTAATCCGGCCCTGGCCCCCACCCACCGCGCAGAGGTGTGGGCCGGGTGGGAGGACAATAGGTCCCTCCCCTTATTGTTATTTAGGGCCCCCACCCGCCATGCCGGGGGGAGGACAATAGGTCCCCCCTCATTATCCTTTAGGGCCCCCACCCGCCGCTCAGGGGTGGGGGCCGGGGGGAGGAGGACAGTAGGCCCCCCTTATTGTTATTTAGGGCCCCCACCCACCGTTCAGGGGTGGGGGCCCAGGGGGAGGACAATAAGTCCCCCCCATATTGTTATTTAGGGCCCCACCCACCATGCAGGGGTGGGGTCCAGGGGGAGGACAACAGGTCCTCCCCTTATTGGTATTTAGGGCCCCCACCCGCCGCTCAGGGGTGGGGGCCAGGGGGAGGACAACAGGTCCTCCCCTTATTGGTATTTAGGGCCCCCACCCACCACTCAGGGGTGGGGGCCAGGGGTGGTTCTAGGGTTTTGTTTTGTGTTTTTAACAGTGAGCAGCCAGATTCTACTCACTGTTTAGTAGACATGTCCCTACTTGCGGTATTTTAATCTCCCTTATGTTATTATGGCGGTCATATTGACCCCCGTAGAGTGAGGGAGGACATGGGGAGGCTTAGGAAGTGGCGGGGAGCACTGCTATACATATTACAAAGAGGGAGCTGCAAGTGTTTGTTTGTTCATCTGACATTTCTAGTCATTCATTCGTCTTTCTGACGAATGAATAGATGAAATTCCCGTTCGCATGCCCAAGTGTTTAACTGGGCATGTGTGGGAATTTCACAGTGCTATCTAGTCTGGGCAGATGACTTGTCCCACAGGGACTTCATCTACCCACACAAAGATGGCAGCGCCCTGAATATAGGTCGGGGCACAAAATAAAGATAAAAAAATAGGTAATATGGGGAGCTTAGGGGCATTTGAGGGTGACTAGGGGGTCAGTTAGATGTAGTAGAGTCGGGAGGGGGGTTAGAAAAAATGCGCATGCGCATTCGGCTCTGCTGGCATCGGCAGAGGGAGCTGACGTTGGCGGGAGAGGAGAGGTCACCAGCGCCGAGGGAGCCCGGCGCTGGAAAAAGGTAAGCTGCTAAAGGGGTTTTAACCCCATCAGTGCCACTGGAGGGGGGCCCTGAGGGTGGGGGCACCCTCCGGGCTCTATAGTGTCAGGAAAAACTGCGTAGTTTTCCTGACACTATAGTGATCCTTTAAGTTGGGCAGATTTTTTTTTCATCTCTTGCTTTTCTTGCACCCTAATCATCAATTATTGATTTTGTGACATTTCTTTGCATGCTGATTCAAGGATTGTTCTACCAATTTTTTTGCTACTCTAAATTTTCTGTATATTTTTGGAAATTTCTGTAAGAACTGGCGGAATTTACTGTGAAGAAAGCGGTCACTTTTTAGCTCACTTTAATAAATATGACCACAATATTGATGTTAACCGCAACTTTGTTGAACACTGTGCTAATTATCCACAATTGTTCTAGTTAGACTCAGGGTACATAGAATTCATCAAAAATTCTAATATAAGTCGAAAATTGAAGATTATATTAGCTTTAGTGTACTAATAATCTTAATTTTAGTAATGACAGGAGGCGAATATTTGCATATCCTTCTTTACTGAAAACTCCAGCAGCATAGAAACAGTAACAACCAATCAGAGAAAAGATATGGTGCCCATATAAGGCCCTGTCTATGACATCACGTCCTCTTTCTTTGAAGCGAATGATAAACAACAACAACATAAACATAGTCCGTTAACATTTCAACAAACGTAGCAGAGAAACCAATTCCGGCAATTCCATGGTCAAACGGTATGGAAGGTGAAACTTTGTCCCGTAGAGAAGACGTTCATGCTGAAAGAAAAAGAAAAAAGTGAAAGGTTTCTGAAGTGGCAACGTGCCCACATACCATAAATATTACGAAAAACTGTAACACTTCCCAGAGTATATAATACTGTGAAAAAACTATCAATACCCAAATAAATAACCTGCAAGCTACGACATGCGATAAGGAGAAAACATCATATAGTGCAAGTAGTACGACCAAGAATACAACTACGGTACTGAACATGTGTACTCCTAAGAGGTAGTACAATAGTAACATGTATGTCTTCCTGAACACCGAACACAATCTGTATAGTACAAACTCACCTGGGCGGGATCCAACGGGTGGGAAATATTCGCCTCCTGTCATTACTAAAATTAAGATTATTAGTACACTAAAGCTAATATAATCTTCAATTTTACTACATGACAGGAGGCTTCATATTTGCATTTTTAAAGCTTAGCCCTGACCAGTGTGAAGGAAGCGTGAGAGGAGTGACGGAAGTAGAACGTCCTAAACGTACTCTCCTGTGTCCAGTCCGCGCAACGCATGATGTCGGTTAGGGAGGCGCCTGCCAAGAAGGCTTGGGATGCTGCCACCCCTCTGACTGAATGCGCTCCGAAGCCTGAGTCGACTCCTGCTAACCTTAAGAGCCAGCGAACCCATCTGGCCAGGGTTATAGTAGACACCGGTCCGTAAGGCCTTACGTAAGAAATCAGTAGCTGACCCGTCGGGGAACGCCGAAGGGTGGCCGTGATTTCCGTATACCTCAACAGTGTCTTGACCACACATAGCTTGGGGTCGGAATCAAAATACGGATAAGTCACCGAGGATGAATCCAATTTAGTCCGTCTTGATATGGAAAAGGCGACTCCCTCCGGGGTGAGGGAGAAACCGTCCACGTCAAACGCCCTAATGTCAGACACCCGTCGGAAAGAGACGAGGCATAGCAAAAGGGCTAGTTTAGCTGAGAGCTGTTTCAGTGATAGAAAAGGGTTATCTGGCCAGCCCCGAAGGAAATCCAGCACCCCATTAACTTGCCAGAGGCTGGAATACTTGGGGGCTGGGGGCCTCGTAAGACTGGCGCCCCGCAGTAGACGACATATCAGCGGGTCTTGACCCACTGGCCTGCCTTGTACTGGGACGTGCGCCGCTGAAATAGCCGATCTGATCACGTTAAGGGATCTATATGATCGACCCGTCGAGAAAAGATGAGCGAGATAGTTGAGGATCAGTGGGACAGAGGCAGTAAAGGGATCGGAATCCCTTTCCACGCACCAATCACTCCAGGCTGAACATGCGGAGATGTAACATCTCCTGGTGCCAGGAGCCCATGAGTCCCACAGGAGGTCTTTAGTAGATTGCGATAGGCCGTGGACCGACCAGGAGCCCCTGAAATCGTCCAGGCCACCAGTTCCAGTTGTCCTTCCAGGACGAGGGGATGGAGTTCCCCCCGAGGTCCCGACAGGAGGAGTGGAACGGTCGGAAGCCGAATGTGATGGTCGTGGGACATCTCCAGGAGGTCCGGGAACCACGGTTGACTCTGCCAGAGAGGTGCTATGAGCAGGAGCGATATCCTGTGAGTGCGTGTGAGTGCGTGTGTACCGCAGTACCCGTGGAATCATAGAGAATGGAGGGAAGGCGTAGGCCCCGTGAGAGGGCCAGTCCTGAAGAAATGCGTCCGCTGTAGTATTTTTATTTTGTCCTGGAGGCGAACAGGTCTATTGATAGTGGCCCCTTCCGTCGCCGTAGTGTCCGGAATATTTCCTCGTTGAGTTTCCAATCGCTGGTGTCTCTCCAGTGTCGGGAAAACCAGTCCGCCGTCAGGTTGGAGACTCCTGGGAGGTATTCCGCCTGTATCGTGATGTTCCTCCGTAGGCAGAAACTGTAAATGTCCTTCGTGGCTTCGGTCAGGTCTTTCGACCTCGTCCCGTCTAGGCAGTTGATGTATTGCACCGCCGAGATGTTGTCCATGCGGAGTAGGATACAACAATTCGACCTGTCCTTGGCCAGGCTGCGGATGGCGAAGGAACCCGCGATCAACTCCAGGCAGTTGATGTGTAGGTTGGTCTCCTCTCCCTGCCATGGGCCCCCCGTGGAGGCATCCGAGCAGTGGGCGCCCCATCCCCACAAACTGGCGTCCGATTCCACGATGAAGTCCGGGGAGGGGCCGAAGATCGCCTTGCCGTTCCAGGCTTCTATGTGAAGTAACCACCATCGCAGTTCCGACCTCACCTCCGGAGTGAGTGGGATCCAGTGGTCGTAGGAATGACCGGCACGCAGATATTCCGCTTTCAGCCGTTGCATGGCCCTGTAGTGTAGAGGGCCCGGGAATATCGCCTGTATGGATGAGGACAGGAGTCCCACAATCCGAGCGAGCATCCTGAGCGGTATCGTGTCCATCCGCAAAGTCCGCCTGATTTCCTTCCTTATTGAGGCAATCTTTTTCGAGGGAAGGCTGAGCACGCATTCCCTCGAGTCGATGTCGAAGCCCAGGAATTGTACTGACTGGGATGGAGAGAGAGACGACTTCTGTCTGTTCACTACGAACCCCAGAGATTCTAGCAAGCGAACTACAAATTTCGTCTGCGATCGTAGTCTGGAGACGGATTCGCAGAAAATCAGCAAATCGTCCAGATATACGAGACACCATATGCCCCTTGTACAGAAGTGAGCCATCACTGGTCTCAGCAACTTCATGAAACACCACGGGGCCGAGCTGAGACCGAATGGTAGGCACGTAAACTGGCACACCCGCCCTCTCCATTGGAAACGTAGGAACTGACGGTAGTACCTGTCCACCGGAACCGTGAGGTACGCGTCCTTGAGGTCCAGGCGCGTAAACCAGTCATTCT